CCACAGTGTTTCAGGACATTTTTACAAAAAACTATCAGGTCCCTCATTGAACTCCTATCACTTAGTTGAAAAACCGTCGGTGGCCACAAAGAGACCTCATTCAAACCTCCCAATTTACCTCTTTTCGTTAACCCTGCTATCTTTAACATACCATCATACGATATCAAATGTGTTAAATGTGACACCAAACAGGGTGGCATCGAGGGTGGCAGCCTGCTTTAACACTCCCACCTCTGTCCCCCTGCACAAGCCAAAATGCGATGGCGAGACAACACTTCTGTATTATAAGGGTATGCGCTTTAAAAAAACAACAACCCGGTAACGAACCAGACCAGATTCTTGACAAAATAAACGCTCCATTGACTCTGCCATCTTTATATTGGATGTTGCTAGTTTGAAAAAGCTTTAAAAGTGAGCATGAAACAGAACCAGCGACCAGAGGAAGTAAGAATAAATCCATCTTTGGTTACAGAATGCGTTTATGGACTTCTGCCTAAAGTTTCAGGAGGCGTGGAGGGGAACTCTGAAGATATTGATCAAGCCACAAATGCACAACTGCAGCTTTTCCAGGTACATTAGACCTAAATTGTTGTTAATGCATTATCTGATTGGAGGATGAGTCAGCACTTTCGATATCATCAACCAAGATTACTGGAGTTTTCATGTGCAGCTCAACCTTCTGTGGCCTTTTCCAGCCATTCACTGTCATGTTACCAGTACCCGCAGGTCAACCCCAGAACCGACATCAGTGCGGCCTCCAGGGCCAGCCTAAAAAACACAGCCCACAAACCCAAAAGCTTACGAAAACACTTGTGTACAGCTGATCTCGTGTTTTAATCAGGGGAACAATTGTGGTGGTGTCAAACCAACTTCAATACATTATAACAACATGACCTCTCTCAATGATCCCGTCTAACGAATCCCAAGTGGATCTCCTTTCAAAGGATGTGCTGGCCGAATTGCCAGGTTGACATGAATCCCTGCACAGACAGGAATGGCAGTGTGGTTACTGGGGAAAACGGTGTGGTGATAAGTGACAAAAGCAAGTCTACGGTTAAAATATAAATTCATACCTTTTCTCTTTTGGCCATAATGGGATTAGACATACTTCCACCATCATCATTAGAAAGGTTCAAAATCTCAAACACATTTTTGGAGCTCAGTATCAACCATACAGTTTATCCAAAATATTCGTGGACACGTGACACCATTTCCATGATTCTGGGCCTCTGCATGCCACCACATTGGATTTGAAATTAAACAACGTCGCAAATTCCACTGAAGTCCAGACTGGTCTCAGGTTTACATTCAAGGGGTTGGACAAAAATATCCTATCAAAAACGTTTTAGAAATTGCAACCAGTCTTTCCTAAACAAAAGTCTCCTCATTTCAAGGGCCTCAAAAATACACTGGACCTACACTCCAACATTGTCATATTATAAAACAAAACAAAACGTCCTTGTTGCGTTTGCAGTATGTTTTGGCGGTCATTGTCATCTGTACTGGTGAAAGTGCCCGTCCAAGTCAACTTGCCGCACTTCTGGCTGAATCTCGAGCAGAGCGAATATCCCTTATACAGTTCGAACACATCGGCTGCTAACTGTCTCCTGTCACATCATCAAAAATAAAACACTCAGTGACCGTGCCATGCCATCACACTGTCTCCACCATCGTCTTACAGACAGATGTGTGTGCTTTGGATCACTCCAGTCCGTCCCACAGCTTCTCCATACTTTCTCTTCCCATCATTCTGGTACAGGTCTTGAATCTTTAAGTTTCATGTGCCAAAAGAACGCCGTTCCAGAACTAAGGTGGGCTCCTTTAAGAAGACTGTTTTTTGGTAAAAAAGTCTAATCTGGCCTTACTCTATTTTTGAGGCTGATTAAGTGGTTTGCAACCTTGCTTGGGTGAACGCCTCATGTATTTGCTCTCATATGATCCTCTTCTCTTATGTGGTACGACTGAACGACTACTGATCACACCTACTTCCTGGGAGTGTCCTTCACTGGATGGATGTTGTGAAGGGGTTTTTTTCTTTTCTTTAACCATATAGAAACGGATCCATGCAAAAGAAAAGCCTTTTTGAGTCCTGAGCTCACCAGGTGCGCCTCTTTTTCCTCAGGATGGTACCGAAATGTTGAACTTTGGCCACTCCTAAACACTACCCGCTAATCTCTCTGATGAGATTTCTTCTTCTTTCTGCAGCCAGATGGTCTGTTTCACTTCCATTGAGAGCGTCCTTTCGACTGCATGATTGTTCAAAAAACAAACTGCAAAGCTGCAACACCTGGAATCAACTTCCAGACCCTGTTACCTGCTTGAATTCAATGATGGGCTTAACAAGGGACTAGCCCCACTGCAAGCCACTCGGAAGATAGCGTTTGAGTTAGATTGTCCACCATTATTTGGTGCCTTGAAAAAGAGGCGGCGAGCGGACGATAGGTGAGGAGCCGCGAGCTTAATCTCCTAAACCCTTCTCCGCCAATCTGGATGTTGAAATGACCCTATAACATGCCGAAAAGCTGAGAGTCTGCACTTTAAGCCCCCATATCTGTGTACATATATGCAAACTGGTATCCTTGAAGTATCTTTTGGTAACACAGCTAAGCAAATAAACAGAACTTGTTGTCCCCAGTGCTCCAAATATAAGTAGGCCGGTGGACTAACTGTAAGAGCTATACGAAGTCCTCGGTAGCCGTTTAGCGTCTTTATTTTAAAATGTACCAGATAAACTCGAGTTCTGCTGAAAAAGCTCAGCCCAACTGACCGTACCCCATCCACGTATTAATGGCAACACACTTGTTTTTCTGTTTCTGTGTAATACTGAATATGTACAGTCTTGTAATTGTGTTTTTATACTACAGTGTTAATATATGTTTCCAGTCCAGAGACTACAGGTGTAAATGAACTCATAGCTCACTCTGGTGCAGCAAAGTAGCTGTGCACGGTCCCTGATAAATACACACACAAATAAATAAATAACTAAAACCTGGGATCAAAACTGTTTTGGTACATTCTCATTACAATATCGATTAAAGAATAGTAGTATTAATATTTCAAGTAAGACGATTTGATAGCTTTATAGTTAATATTCAATCTTAAACTCAAACTACATCTAATGCAGAAAACTAAATGTGTACAATGTACATAACTGATTCACAACAGTGGACATAAACTGGTTACTGGGTGGACACTTTGTTTGCCGAAGTAACCACAACACACTCAACAATTCAACAGGTATATTAAACAATGTGGTGTATGTTATGTGCATTTGGGGTTAAGTGGAGACACTTTAAACAACGATTTTCTGAACAGAGTTTGGTTTTAGTCTGACTTAACTAAATAACGGATAACACTCAGTAACAAACATCTAACATTAACACAGGCGACAGTCGTGTGTTTGGTCTTTGACACTGATATGATAAGAGTTGAAAACATTGTATTGTGCCGACATGATGACTACCTTTGACCTTAAAGCCCATCTTCTTCCAGCAGCTGACTCTGTTTGCTATCACACTAATACTGACCGCTCCTCTGGTGAAACATACCTTGGTTTTTGACCTCCTGGTGCTGCCTGCTTTTCTTCTCCGCCTTGACCTTCGGCATTTTTACTTGTTTTTATTCGTTTTAAGATCCAGGAAACCCAATTTTCAAACAATAATCCTAACTATGTCTCTGGGAGGGGAACACACGTGTAGCCCCCTTGTTCTTCTTCACTGACAGGAAGTGCTGTAGGTATGAAAGCTTTCTTCTCCTCCTGTGTCGCCCTCTAGTGGCAGCTGGACGTTACTTACATTGCCTTAAAAACAAATCATACTCTTAACAGTTTTATCGATTATTTATTAGACAATACAATACAGAAACATACAAAAATAACATAAATGGATTATTTCTCTAATCAGAGATGGGAAATTCCTCCAGTGTCATGGCGATGTCTCGAAGTTTGGGATCATCCAGCCAGTTGACTTTACAGGCCAAGAGGATGCCCTGAAAACAGACGTTTACATTAATACACCAGCTGCAAAAAATTCATTGTATGCATTAACCATTTCCAAACATTGTACTGACACATTGTGTATTTTCTTTCCTGCAAAACTTACCCTGAGGACATTCTGTGTCATGATGGCCATCTTTTTATATTTCTCCAGGTTGGCCTGACCTTTCTCCAACGCAGCTTTGTACTTCTCTGTATCTGGGTGCTCTTTCCTCGACATCATCTCTTCCATCTCTTTCATTTTCTCATGGGTGAGCCGTTTCATCTCTATACACACACACACACACACACACACACACACACACCACACACACACACACACAAAGTAAAGTAAAAGTAAAGTAAAAGTAAAGTAAAGTAATTTCTCAAAACACTGGACTGTGGAAAAACTAAATTAAACTTTAATACTTCTTTTGTATAAACCATACGACATACCAAGCCTCTTCTTCTGTATTTCCGTGATTTCATCTTGAAGATCTCTTGACTCCTGTTAACAAAACATCGAGTCCGGTCCACAATTAATTATCACAATTTCACGTAACACTACATTTCAATACATCTTGATTTGTGGCAGCAAATATTTAAATTTGTATGACCTTCTCTCACATCTGACCAATAATTGTAAACAAATCTATATTATCAGACCATCAAGAACAAAGTGATATTAATAGTATTGATTGATAGTACAGTACAGTTGTTGGTGTCCTGGGTAATTAGAAATGTTGGACTAAACATAATTATCTGGTTTGCAGAAACCTTTTTAACTGCCATAAGAAGTGTTTATAGTCACTTAACAACTAATCTGCCATCTAACTTGTCACCCACAGACAGTAAACAACCTCAGTACCATTTTATCTGATGTCAAAGTGCAGTTATACAACAATTTTATAATATTGTTTTCAAGGTCATTTCAGTGCAGGAAAAACACTTCATAAACACACAATGAATGATGAGGCTGCTTACTTGCTGAAGCTGTTTTATGTGTGAACAAAGAGCCATGCAGCGATCACTCACAGCTTTCAGGGCACTGAGAAAAACACACAATGACATAATGACACACTTATGAAAAAATATATATGTTAGTTGTGTTTTAATGTGTTGTAAATCGACTTACTCTGCTTCTGAATCATTCTGTTTCAGTTTTTCTCTGATAGCGTGCCACATCTGCATTCTGAAAGACACCCGTTAAATCAATGATTTGTCAAAGTTTACAGATTCTGTATTATATATTATTTGTATATATAACTTGTATTATTATTATACAAGAAAAACGAGAAGGCATTGTTTTACCTGTGCAGTGTAAATGTGCTGTTAAAATGAATTGTCTTCACTCTTTCCAGCTCATCGACGTAATCTGGCCTGCAATATTTAATGAAGAATATATGTTAACAGAAATTAAATCTAATCATATATATTTGGTTTAAAATCTAGATCCACATCAAAAGGCTAAATTTCAAATACTCACAAGTCTCTTTCAGCTTCAGATGTACTGCAGGATCTCTTACTTTTTCCTGTTACAGGAAACATGATATTAATACTCTGTTTGTGTACTTAATGAAACTACAATATGACGAAAGTAATGCACATAGTTACATACCTGCATGGAGCTGTACTGCCATCTCAAAGCACTGGTTGGACATCTGCTGTTTTATTCTGAAAAGACAAGTAATTTAAACAATTATAAAGACTCTTATCACTCTCTTATCACAAGAGGCAATGTGCTTTAATGGGCACATGGATGAAAAGTGAGTGTTTAAAAACTGCTGTTGGGGTGTAACTGATCAAATAAGCCTTCGTAAACCGAATAATAACAGAAATGTAAAAGCATAATGCGGAGTTCGAACCTCAGCATGTCTGTAGGCGAGGTGTCCTTCTGTCCGGTGGAGCCGTCAGGAGCAGGACCATCATTCAGTACCACAGCCTCCACCATGTGGTTGAGGTTCCCCACGTTGTCAGATGAGTCCATCACAGTGACAGTGGAGGAGCCTGGAGGGACGCATCAACAACAAACCAAAGAGAAAGTGTGAGATCACCTGGGTTTGATCCGAGGAGCACAACCGCTGAACCAATTCAATATTGTTGACCCAAAAGAAAATGAATTATTACTCATATGCTACTGAATTTGCTAAACTAATACAAAAAACATGTAGCAGAGTCACACTGGAATCAAATTCTAACTACAAGGTTAATCTGAAAAGGTAAACACACAGAGTGGATGTGTAGAATAAAACAGTTTTTACTTTAGTTTTTATAATAATAGTATTTTTTAATCAGTCTTCAAGTAAAAGT